GGCCGGCAGGAGGGAGAATCCGTGGTGTCCCCTGAGGTCTCCGGTGAGTCTGGCAGCAGCCACGCTTGGGGCGTCCCCCAGTCCCCCGGCCCGGGCAGTCGGGCCTTGGGGCCTCACTGGCTTCGGCTGCCTCAGTCGGCTTCTCGGCCCTTGGTCACCAGCGCGGCCAGTTTCTGCTGCTTGGCTGGGCGCTGAGCGTTCGCTCCGGCTGCTCCCTGGGTGCGCGCTGGGGTTGCGCTCGTGCCGCGTGGCAGCCGGCTCTGACTTTTCGGGGTGCAGGGGAGCCGGTGGGGACCGCGGTCATAAAGCCCCTCCTCCCGGACTCTGAGGTCCCGCCCGAGCGAGGTGGTGGCCAGGTCAGTTCAGGGTGTACCGAGCCGAGCACCGTCCAGACGCCGACACCCCCTTCCCTCCTCTGTGCTGGAGGCTGTGGTGTGGACGGGGAGTGGCCTGCGGTTTCTCCCTCGGGTCCCCAGACGGTCCTCTGGGCACCCCGAATTTGAGGCTGCCCAGGAGGGAGCAGCCTGGTGGGCGGAGGTCCTGCTGGAGCCCCCCGGAGGCCGGCAGGTCCTGGAATGTGTGTGTCCGCTGGCCCGCCTGCAGGAGCTGTTCCCAGGCCGAGATCCCTGGGCCCCCAGATTCCCGAGCGCCCCAGACTCCAGGGCTGAGGCTGGCCCCCCACCGGGGTGCGTGTCTGCCAGTCCGTGAGACCCGGGCTCAGGCCCAGGCTAGGTCAGTCTCCCCGCAGCCTCCGGCTCGCTGAGCTGGGCTGGCCGCGGACGTGTGTGGCCCCTGCAGCCCACGTGTCCCGCCTGGGAGCCAGCGGGCCGTGGACACGGCTGACCCCTGTCCGTGCTGTGGCCAGGCCCCAGGCTGCTGGGCTGAGGATGCGGACGGGCCCAGCGCTGCGGCCTGCGGGGGACCGACAGGCTGGTCCTCTTCGCACCCCTCCGTGCAGGTGTGACTAACGGGGTCCCACCTGGTCCAGCAGAGAGAACCCCATGGCTAACAGTATCTGAACCTTTTTCTTTTGGTAAAGAGGGTGGCACTTAACCTTCATTTACAGGACACTGAGAGATACCGAATTCCACATAGAAATGGGAAACCCTTCAGGAGGACAAGCAAGAAAAGGGCTGGTTCCCTGCACGGTGCCCAGTCTCCCCGCCGCGGCCCCCAACCCGCCATCCCAGAGCCTGCTCACTGACCACCTCCTGGGGACGGGGCCAGGCTGAGTATCAGGGCCCCTTGGACCAAGTTCTTTTCTCCCTGACATGGAGGCTCCCAGGTGGGCCTGCCTCGCCCTCTGCTGGCCATGAGAAGGAGGGCAGGTCACCACTCATGTGGCAGCCGGTGTCCCCAACCGCGGCCTCACCGGGGTTGTGGGCCAGTGATGACTCGCAGCAGGGCAGGACGGTGCCCACACGCAGGGAACGCTTGAACTCTGGTCCTGATGGGATAAAAATAACCACCACCCGCATTTCTGCCGGACGGACATCTGAACGCACCGGACTAGTTTCTGGATGACACCGGAGCCGACGTCCTCCAATGCGTGTTCCCCGGGTTCCTCAGCATGCCTCCAAAGACCCGACCCTCCCTCCCCCGACTTCGCCCACCCCGCACCCGGCGGGGGCTGGGGGGACTTTGGCCGGGTCCCCCTGTCTCTTCCTTCATCCCAGGGAGATGAGTTGGTTTCCAGCCTCTGAGTGTCCTTGTCTCCCTGCCTTTCTGTTGTGGATTCAGCCTCCTTCTCCGCACCCCACCCCAAATATGATATTTATAAGCTGATTTGAGATGCCTTGTGACAGAGGGTCAGGAAAGAGAATTCCGATTTGCAGTGATGGATGCCTGAGACACACAGCCCGCCGGCCCTGCACAGACCAGTCCTGGCACTGGGCTCAACATGCATGACCCGTTCTCTGCTGGGCAAGCCTCCGCTTTGCAGAGAATCCCCAGGAAGTTCCGGTCTCAGGATGCTTTGATATAAAGACCGTTCTGGTACCTCCGTGGTTTCCTCAGCGGCTTCCAGGGCCAAAGAAACCCCTGCCCTGGGTACGATGCAAGCAATCATCAGCCTTAAACTCCTTCCCCAGACTGTCACCTGCAGGGACGCACATGCGGTTTGGTTTCCCAGGCCTCCTGTAAACCCTCGGTGGTAACTCCCAAGGGCAGGCGGGGCGGGCAGCCGCTGACATTGATTTCCCACAGTGACGGAGACTGTGCGGCCGAGATTGAGGTGTCGGCAAGGCTGGCGTCTGGGGAGGCCTCTTCCTGGCCTGCAGGCGGCCACCACCTGGCTGTGTCCTCATGCAGCCTTCCCTCTGTGCGCGCGGAGAGAGAGCGATCTCTCGTGCCTCTGCCTCTTGTAAGAACACCCGTCCCATCGAAGGCGGGCCCACCCTCATGACATTCAGCCCTAATCACCTCCCTATCGTCTTATCTCCAAGAACAGTCACCTCGGGGGCTGGGGCTCCCCGTAGGAGTTTTGACGGGACACAGTTCCACCCCCAGCACTCTCCGTCCCTTCCTCAGCTCTCCCGGTGATGCAGGTTTCATGGTGGGTCTCCCATTTCCTGATCCCTGTCAAACCAGCAAACCTTGGCTTCTGTGCGTCATGACAGAGGGGGGACCAGTGAGCTGGGTTCTTTCCTCTGGTTGCCATGGTGACACGTGAACTTTCACGCTGCCCTCTATGCATCATTGGCCGAGCAGAGAGACGTGGAACGGGTGGTCGTCCAGGTAGACGGCCGGCAAGAGGCGGTGGGCCTGGCGCCGGAGGATCTGGGAGCAGGCGACGTTGGGAGAACCCCAGCTCGCTGACTGCATTTCCGTAGCCGCCACTCGCGAGCCTCCTTTACGCCAGGAACGGCGCTGTTTCATCCGTGGTGCTCATGTCAGGTGTGCTGGCCGAGGTCATGGTTGGCCAGCGCCACGCAGCTGGTTAACCGCAGGCAGGACCTGGAATTTCTGCCCGGCTGCTTCCAGTGCCAGACCCGCCTTCCCTGGGAACCCCGCCCCTGCCTGGCGACCCCAAGCCCGACACCCCACCCCTGAATCGGCCTCTCCCCTTCTCTCTTTCTGTAATGACATCACAGAGCCTCGCTTTGTCCCCGTCCCTGCTGGGCTCACGGCCTCCGGGTTGTGTTAAGGGGGCTGGAGGCTGGGATGGTTATTTGCAGAGGACCGTGGGGAGGGGAGGCAGGCCCCAGGGGCGAAGTCCGTTCTCTTTCAGTCACTTGTGTCCGTGGGGCTCCCGAGGGAAATGGAGAGAGACGCAGAGGCTCTCCTGAGGGCAAGGACAGGCTGGCCTCCACCCTGGGGCAGCCTCCCCCGGGAGCTGTCATCTACCGTCCACCATGGGCAGACCCCCTTCCCCTCGGGTCAGCAAGGAAAGTAGAAATCAGGCCGAACCTCTACAGGAGAGGAATTTACTGTGGAGAATTGGTTGTGTGGGTGACGGGAGAGCTGGGAAGCCGAACAGGCCTGTTGGACCGAAGCCAGCGGCAGCAGGAAGCCCCTGCGCCCCCAGGCTGGGGAAGGATGGTCGGGCAGGAGGCCGAATCGCTGGGACCCAGGGTCAGGATGGGAGCGGAGCCCCGGTGGTGGGTGTGGAGGGCCTCCACCCAGAGTCCTCCACAAGCCACGTTAGCTAGCAAGGCCACACCGCAGTGGCTCAGCGCAGGGACGCAGGGACACGGGGCCACCTCTCCTGCTCACCGAGCATTTCCCTGACTGCCCCTTGCTCAGGGGCTTCACCCCTTAGGGAGGTCCCGGGGCCCAAATTCCCCCATCTTTTTGTTCCGCTGTCCCCTCTGTTGGAAAACTTGAACTAGGAAATGGCATACGGCCCTCCCCTCCCTCTGTGGGTGCCTGGTGGGGTGGGGGGCTAAGCAGACCTGTGGGGCACCCCCTCTCAGCCCAGCAGCCACCCCACACTGTGGGGAGGGGGTGCCCCGGGACGGAGGCTGCCTCTGCCCACAGGCTCAGTCCTTCTCTCTTTCCCTGGACTTGGTAAAACTTCGGGAGGGGAAGGGAGAGGTGGGTCAGGGCCGGAGCTGTGCTGGTTGGCAATCTGGGGAGCTTCTGGGGTGAGACCTGAAATTGGCCGCTCCCGCGGAGGGTGGGGAGGTGAGAAGAAGGCGCAAGTCCCTCCAGAGGGGCAGGTGGCCGGGATTCACCTATGAGGCGTGTTCTGGGCGCTGCCAGGTGGGCAGGTCTCCGCACCGCCTGCCAGCATCGTCCAGCTCCCCCTGAGGCCTTGCTGGGGTTCAGCCGCGTGACAACACCGCGTCACCTCTCCCGAGGCTGCGCCCTGGGGACCCCGGGTGGGCCGTCCGCTCCCCACACCGGGACCCCGACGGCGGCCCAGCCCCTGGCTGTGCACACGTGTGTGGCTGCGTGCGCACAGAGTGGTGACCTGGCAGCTGCCGCAGCCGTGCAGGTCCAGGCTCACAGCTTCCCGGCCACACCCCCTGCTCGGGCTGTCGTGGGCCTGGCCACAGAGGAGAGGTGAGCAGAGAAGTTCATTTAAAAAATGATTTCCTGAGGCTGAAACTCCCAAAATGCAGAACAAACCATTTTAAACTGAATATTTCGTATATTCTCAGTGTGCGACCTTCCACCTGCTTCCAGACCCGTGCCCTTCGCTCCAGAGGGTGACCCTGAACCCCTTTAAACCTCTCCTCCCCGCCTCCCCTTGCCTGGCCACCACCGGTCTGTGGCCTTACCTGCACCTGCGTGGAGTCGCACCTGCGTGGCCTTTTTTTTCGGGCTTCTTCCTCTGGCTGCAGTGTCTTCTGGGCTCATTCATGCTCTAAGGGTGTCCGCTCTGCTCTCCTTCTTGAGGCTGCATGGCCGTCCGTGTGCGGATTTGCCACATTTTGTTTATCCACCATCTTTAGATGGACACTTTGGGTGGTCTCCACCCTTTGGCAGCTGCGGATACGCCGCAGGGAACACGGGTGTGCGTGCACTTGTTTGAGTCCCTGTTTTGGATTTTTGCGAATCGAATTTCAAAGTCACATGGGAGTTCTTGGCTTAACTAAAATTGCCGTCTTGAATCTTGGAAAACTGCTCTGGGCAGCAGCGCATCCTCACGGGTGCAGCTGTGTGAATACCACACGCGTGGCACCCTCCCCTGAAAGCAGTGGGTGGCGTCACGTGCGAGGCCCCAGACGCTGGCTGCTGTGAGAAGGAAACGGGGAGAACCCCACGGGTCAGGGCTCCTCCATACACGGGAGCTTTTAAAAAGAGTGACAGCTCCCTGTGATGTAAAACGTTTTCAGCGCCACCTGCAAAGGGAGCCAGGGCAGCAATGCCGAGGCTGCAGGACCGGGCTCTGGGGGGTGATGGCCAAGGGGGGTCTTGGGGGAGCATCGGGCGAACCGTGCCTGTGTGCCAGCCCCCTGCTACCCTGCTGGGGAACGGCTCTTACCCTGGTGCCACAAAGTATGTAATCAGTAAGAGAATAAAAATGTTAACTTACGTTCTTTAAAAAAAAAAGTGGATTTACGGGATCATTGGCTCCATTCCTCGCTGAAGCTTGTGCCATTTCCTGTTGCAGAAGCCACCGTCCCGAGTTTTCATTGCTTGTGAAAATCGCTTGATGAAGTGAAGACCACAGGAGTCTCGTTGCCTGACATCCCTCTGACCACAGCTGGGGGCAACAGGAACCCAGGAGCCTGGGCCCCAGGGCGATGGAGCAACTGCCGCTCAGCTGAGTCCATCATCCCGGTTAAGACGGTGCCTGTGTGCAAGGGTCCCCAGGCCCCTCTGAGCAGGGGCCCCCACTGTGGATGCTCCCAGCCCTTCGTCCATAGCCCTTCCGTCAGGCGGCAGTGCAGAATTACAGGTGGGAGAGTGGCGGCGTTCCTGCCTTCCCCGGGCATCCCGGGTTTACCCATGGACCCCCTGCCCCGCCCGGTGCCCTGGGGAGCACAGATCCTGAGCTTTGGGGGAAACGGGTGACAGAGGTGGATGAAGGGAGTGCGTCAGCATGGTCATCCTTGAACTTGAACCTCCCCGCCCGACTGCCCCGTCCCCTGGCCCCCATCCCCTCCCCGCCCCAGACCGGCAACATTTCCATGCTTCCCCTGATGGTCCACCTCGGGACCTGCACAGCGCACCCTGTTTCGCTGGGTTAGTCTGGTTGTCAGGGTCTCAGGAGGGGGCTGGGGTAATTCTACCCAATTAACATCAAGCGAGACAGAGGCTGAGGGCTGGACGCGAGCATCGCTTCTGGGCACACGCGTCGGTTGCATGTGTCCTTGGAAATGTGCGTGCCCGGGACAAGGCCCGGGGGCTGCCGCCTGTAACCCAGCCCTCCCAGAACACTGGACGGCCAGTGGGAAGGTAGCATGTCCCCACAGATGCAGAACAAGAGGGCCTTCAATGCCCGCCTTCTTCAGTCCCCAGTAAGCCGTCTTGCATCACTCCCTTTTGTTGGGATTGACAAATAAGCACCATGCTTTCGCCCAGCCCGGCGGATATAAGCCGGGTGCTGGGGGCTGGCGGGGGCCGGCTCCCTGACCGAGCGCAGGAGGGCAGGCATGGGGCGGGCTGCGTGCCAGTTCCGAGCCCTGCTCTGGAAAAACTGGCTCTGCAGAATCAGGCACCCGGTGAGTGAGTGCGGCGTGCCCCGCAGGGTGGCGGGGAGGTGGGTGAGGTCCGGGACGAGGGGCTGGTCCCCACACTCCCCGCAGGGAACTCGCGGAGGCCGGGTGACTGAACGCCAGAACCTACCCTCAGGGCCGGAGTAGCTGAACCATTGTGAGCAGCTCAGAGTCAAGGCTGCGGCATTGGGTCAGAATAGGGCTAATTTAGAAATCTTTAAAAAAAAAAAAAGGGAGGGAATTTGAACTATAATAGATGTTCTGATGTAAAAACTGAACTGTGGACCTCCTCCTTGAGGGGACGGCATGGAATGCATTTAATGCAGAAACACAGCCTCACAGGTAGCGAGTTCAGTCCGTGAGGCTGCACGGTGTCCGTGACCGGAGGCGGCACGAAGCATCACTCGGTGTAGTTCTTTGATGCCAGACCTTGAGCGTCAACTCACATCTTTCGGGAACCGTGTCCAGACTGCATCCTGGGGCTCTCCTAAGTGGCTTGGACTTGCTCAGACCCAGTGTGCGCTGATGCCACGTAAATACTCAGCGAGGGGGTGTCTTCATGGAGCAGAAGTCTTACTGTTCTGACCGGCTCGCCTTTACTCCTAACGCTGCTGGAGTAACGTGAGCACTTGTAAGCGTCACTTTCCGTGGACGTCGCTCCGTGTCCTTCCTCACATCAGGGCCCACACTTAGCTTATGGAGTTCGTTTATTTTTTTATTCTGCTGGGAGAAGTTCAGCCATTGACACTGAATTTCACTTTGCTGAATGCTCACATGCAGACTCTTCCTTCTTTCGCCTTCAAAATAAGGTCAATGTTAACAATGGTAAAAAAAAAACAGGTGTTTTCTCTCATGCAGAGATTTCTCAGGGTTAGAAAGACTTCAGTTGGAAATTTGCACAGACGCTGTGAAGTCAGGAGCTAAAAGTGAGACTCTCGATGGATTGTCAGTGTGTTGGTACCTGTGTAAGCTTTTATTTTTTTCTATTTACGAATGGCGTATTTTATTCACATACTGTTGGTTTGGGGAGATCTAAGCCTATTTCCCCAGGAAAGAATTTTGCAGGTGGAAGTCAGGTACCCAGGCTCCACTCTGTCTGGTTTTTGCTACCAGCTCGTTTAAACCTCAGACCCGCTGAGTGGGCCAGGTACCGGGACTGACTCTCCTTCGTCACTGGACACCTGAGTTGTTTAAACGTCTTCATGGTTACGAACGCTGCTGAGATCAACACCCACATCAGAAATGTCTTATGCGTTTATGAATTTGAGGACCGCTCCTATGAACGGTAGTTCTGGCATCTCATTATTTGCCTTATTTTTCTTGTTGGTATTTATCACCTGGTGTCACGTGGATTTGCCTGTCAGTTAATTTCCTCCGGAGCTTAGATTCCCTGGGGCAGAGAGTTTCTCCTGGTTTGTTCACTGACGTGTTCCCCAGCACCCGGAACAGTGTCTGGAACCTAAGAGGATAGGTGTCCAGTAGACATTTGTCGAATGGGAGAGGAAGCAAAGAATACAAGATTTATTGCAGCTCTGCTGTGTGCTCGACGCTGGGCGAGCCGGCCGAGTGCCTGCCCTGAGCTCCAGGCGCTGTGACTCAGGACAGAGGAGAGCGATGCGGTGCACACGGTCGCACCTAAGGAACCTACTTCTGGGGGGTCTCTCGTACCCGCGTCCCTGCACACGTGGGGCATGGTGTTTGCACCAGTGATTCGTTACAGCAAGACGGTGGAAACAACACAGGCGTTTGGTGCAGAGACCTGGGCTCAGGTCCCAGCTTTGCCACTTCCCCGGTGACTCGTGTGGGCAAGTTCCCTACCTTGGCTTCCCTCCCTGTGCAGTGGGATCGCTGCTAAGGGTGAAACGAGTCCAGCGAGCGTGCAGCATGAGTGAGAGCTGTTTCCTTGCTTGGCCTCGGGCCAAAATGGGGGTGGTAGGAGCGGGTGGGCTCGGGCGTCCCCAGGGGAGGAGGTGGCCCCGCGGAGTGCGAGGATGGGGGGCAGAGCCAAGGGCAACTTCCACCTGCACATCTGGGTCAGGATGGAGCCCGGGGGCTGCAGAGATGGCTTCGCGTCTCCTCACGCTATTGCCTTGGAAATACTGGGGCCGGACCCCTCTGGGCGATGTCTGTGGACCGACCTCTTTACTGCAGCGTCCTCCTGCTCCCGGAGGACAACCTGTCCATTCTTTGCTTCTGCACGGCCGCTTCCCGACCGTGTTTAAAATGGGGTGTCTGCGTAACTTGGGGGTAATCAGTCTGACCGGGAGATGAGATGGCCTCAGAGAAATGTTCATTTAGTAAATAAAAATCAAGCTGTATGTGTCAGGCGAGCATACCTTCGAGGGAAGCATGTTTCATGTCATATTTAATTAAAAAAACCTCGTTATTATATTTTATTCCTATAGTCCCTTTAGGAGACCTCTTATTATGGACATTTCAGACAGAAAAATAGAACAAATAGTGCAGAATGAATGAACAGTAATCACATGTGTATTCATACTTTCTTAGCTTTACAGATTGTTGAAATTCTACTACTTTGGGGAAAAAAATTAAGTAGAAGCACTTTAAATTTTTTTTTTTTTTCTGGCAGGGGAAGGTAATTAGGTTTTTTTAAATTTATGTATTTATTTTATTTTTTCTTAATGGAGGTGCTGGGGATGGAACCCAGGACCTCGTGCATGCTAAGCATGTGCTCCGCCTCTGAGCTACACCCTCCCCCCCGAAGCACATTTTTATATCTACTTTAATACCACTGATTTTTTTTCTCTTGAATTTTATTTATTGCGTAAACAGCAGGACAACAATAAAGAAACATTTAAAAATCCGTTTAAGCAGAAGCACATTTTTGTAACTACTGAAAAACTACGTGTTTTTTTTCTCTTGAATTTTATTTATTGCACAAAGAGCACTTTTAACAGTAAGGGACATTTAAAAAAATCATCTAAAATTGCGTTGCCCTAATGTGCCTGCTCTTTTACGCTTTTCTCTCTTGCTATTCGGCGTGCATGATACACTGTTTCATGATTCAAGTCAGAGCTTTTTGCTTTTTACTTAACGTTGAATCCCAGCGTTTTGCAATTTGCTGTGCAGTCCTCATTAACGGATGGTTTAACTGAATGCTAGTTTATCATGTGGATGCATGTGATGTATGTAGCCACACCCTTACGTGGGGCATGAACGTTCTTGCCTGTTCACACTGCTGTGAAGGACGCGTCTCCTCCCAGGTGGCTGCCCTTGACTGAACTTCCCCAGCAGGGTTTCCGGGTCCGAGGTGAGGACGCCTGCGCTGGGGGCAGGTGGGTCGCAGCCGATGGTGCCCCCAGGAGGGTCCGCGTGGGCTGTTTCTGAGCGACCTTGGAAACGGCTCCTGGCAGGGAGCCACGGTTTCCCACAGGAAGTTATGTATTTTGTCCTAACCATAAATCAGTCTGGTATGTTGATTCTCATTTTAATAAAACTTAAGTAACGCAAGAGGAACAATGTGAGCCGAGTTTCAGCTCCTTGGCTGTCTCCTCGCTCTGCAGCCTTTGGGGGTTTTCCTGTAATTTACTGAAAAGGCTGGCCCACAGCCTGGACACTGTGGATGTGTCCAGGTTACTGTGGACCAGTGACCGTTCCCCTGGGTCACGGTTGCCTCCGGTCTCCGGCTTCTGTTGAAATCTTCCTCCCTGTTCCTCCTCGCCGCCTGTGACTCCCGCTCCCCGCTCCCCAGCTGGACCAGCCTCCCGTTCCTTTCTCATTAGGGAAAGCTGGTGCCAGCCCTGGGGCTCGGTGAGCTTTTCCTGAACACTGGGGCTAGCGGAGGGGGCGTGGAGCACACTTTATTGTAAGGACATCATTATCCTAAAAACCTGTGGTCCAGGAGGGGAAGGTCTAGCTCAGGGGTAGAGCACATGCTTGCATGCATGAGGCCCTGGGTTCAATCCCCAGCACCTCCATCAAAATAAGTAAATGAATAAACAAACCTAATTACCCTCCCTCCAGGTATTAAACACATTTAAAAAGATGACTGTAATTAAAAAAAAAAAATCCGCAGTCCATTCCCCGCTGTGGGTTGGAGGGGGCTGGCGGAAATAACAAAATTCTCCTGGCCACCATTTTACCAGGAACACACTCCCGCCCCTGGACGCCACAGCCCAGACCCCGGCCCACGTGCGAGGCACCGCGTTCTGGCTTTAAAGGGCCCCTTTCTGGTGAGATGCACGTCTCTCTCTCAGACACAGACAGAGCTACGCGTCTTGGCGGCGGCTTCTCCCTCTGGCCTGGCTCCAGGAAGCCCCCCGGGGTCTTTGCTCCAGGCTGGGGGGTATCTCCAGCCAGCAGGAGCCAAGTTCAAGCTCCAGTGCTTCCCGTTAGCGGACCCCCAGGAAGCCCCCCCCACCCCCGGCTGCATCCCAGCCTCTCCCTTAGGGCCTGGTCCTTCACACACCGCCCGGGAGGCAGCTTTCCTTTCCTTTAATGTGCGCAGAGCAGACCCTCAGTCTGCGAGCTGGCTGCTTGGGACCTTTACAAAACAAAACCCCTCGTGCTTCTTGGAGACTTTCTGTCCACCACTGAACTCAGGCCCTAAAAGCCTGGTTTGGTGTTCGAGAATAGTTTCCTTTGGGTTACAGTGACTGTACTGGCCACCACTTGTGTAATTTCCTGAAATGGCAAAAAAGAAAAAAAATTATATGTAGAGGTGGCTGTGTGCCGGTTTTGTGGAATGACACGCTATCAATTCTTTGTTGTTAGATTTGCTCTAAAGGTCTGCTGAGGGTGTGAACGGGAACCAGGGGCTCAAAGGCTGATCCCTTCCTCAGGCAGGTTAGAAAAAAGACCAAAAAGTGGTTCCTGAGACGACGCCACCGTGTTGTATATTTTTCAAAAATAGCCGAATAGCTTTGGAGAAAAACAGTTCAGAAATTCAGGCATTAACTCTGCTGGCAGATCCGTGCTGGAAGTGTTTGCGAAGTGATCTGTGAGTGCTTTTTTTTGTTTTTTTTGTTTTTTTTTTGGTGAATGAAGAAGGTGAAATCAAAGCCACCGGGGCTCAGTCACCCTGGCTCTGCCCCCAGCCTCAGGAGCAAACCCGGGCTCGCCTCGGGACGCTGGGGACTTTGCAGGGAGCTCGTGGGGGGACTGGAAGTCAGGTCCTGCTCCCCGCGCCGCCGGCCGGGAGAAATGCGTCCTTCACCCAGTGAAGTCGAATCCAGGAAGCTCGTCTGAGCGCGTCTCCCGGCAGCAGTCACGTCCTCTGCTCAGCCTTCCCTTCCCGAGGGGCCCGGCGTGGGGAGGGTGGCCGGGTGGCCCCACTGTGAGAGCAGCAGACAGCTAGGTGTGAGCCGAGAAAGGGGGACGCTGGCCACATGGCAGGAACTGGGCAGAAAGGAGGGGCACGGGCTAAATGCAGGGAACCACACATCATGTGAGCACCAGGGGTCCCCGGGCAGAGAAAGAAAAGAAGGAACCTCTGGGCTGACAAGTGGTCACACCTTTTGGGGTGATGAGTGGCCTGGAGGCCGACAAAGAAAGGTGGGAAAAGGCAGGAGTCTCCAGTGTCCGAATGGAACCTTTTGCTCATTCTGCCCTCATTTCAGTAACATTAGCCTTGCAGGTCAGAAGTCCCCATCGTGCACCGAGGCCATGACACGTCCGATCCAGACTAAATAAGGGCCAAAATGCCCCCTCCCCGCAGGAAGGGGGAGCTGGAGTGAGAATCAGGGAACACGACCCCAAACCCTTCCCTCCCCAGTGAATATTCCACCCATTCATTTTCACACCCTGTGTAACCAGTGTGCCAAAGAAACTCGGGGCAGCTTGCTCACCTGAGCCTGCCCACTCCCCCCTTGAGAGGGTGCCGTCCATCCCTTAATAAATCCCCACTTTACCGTCTTAATCTCTCCATCTTGTCTCTGAATTCTTTCTGGGACGGGACAGGAACCTGGACACCGGCTACATCCGCCGGCAGCGCCACCACCGGCTGACCGTCGCCTAAGCTGCAGGTCCCGGACCCTGCTCAGACCCACGGTCTGTACCCCACTTGAATGTCCGTGTCCATGCGGGGACTGGACTTCCAGGCACGGGGCAGTCTCCCACCATAAGCGCTCACACCCTGGCACCCCCAGCTGCTCCCTCTGTGGACGTCAGAGTCCCGGGGCCTCCCGCCTCCGCTGGCTCTGGTCCCTGGGGGGCCCCATGGTGCTCTCGTGGAAGGACCCGGGCCACGTGGCGCAGGCACATGGCCAGTGCTCAGACGCTTCGGCTGGTGTGACGCACAGGTCGCAGGACGGAGCCTGGTGGCCCTTGCCCGCCCCCGACGGCAGTCACGGTGGCCGTCAGCCCCGCTGCCCTTGGTTTGCCGGCACTTGGCAGAAGCTCACAGTGCTGGTTCTGCTCCTGGGGTTGGAGATCCCCGGGGTCAGGGCGTCCTCACCCGCCAGCTGGTCGGCGGTGGGGCCTGGGGGCGTGACCTGCCGGCCATTGTGCTTTACACGCCACCTCTTAGCGGCGACCCCCCACGAACCCACGGGGCCCCCGGCGGGGGAAACTGACCCTGGCCTCAGCGTTTCCGGCAGTTACAGGGCAATCACCCACTTCCTGCTGGGACCACAAGGAGAGCTCACACTGCCCGCTTCGCTCACTCCGGCCGGAGTCGCAGCCCACCCAGGTGCCCGGGGCCTTGAGAGAGCTCCTCAGTAAACCTGGAACGCATGACCGACTCTAGCAGCCACGGCCCTGCACCCGGGGTCCTCAGGGCCGGCCTGGGGGAAGCAGGCCCAGTGGCTGAAGGTCCCCGAGGTCATCCAGGTGCGTTTCAGTTTACGGAGGGCAGTGGTCCAGGAAGAGTGGCTCAGAGATCGAATTACTGAGAAGCAAGCATCCTTTTGTGTCTGTAGAGGGTGGGGAGCTCTGAGCTGGGCCGTCTGGGATCTGTTTGCTTTTTCCTCCAGGGCGCAGTCAGGACGTCCTCGGGGCGAGAGCTTTCCTTTTGCTGGCTTGATCTTCCTTCGCTTCTGTTTAGGTCGCATTTCCTCATTCTCCCTCTTACTGTGGTTGAGTAAACAGCCGGACACAGAAACCGCTTTGAAGGGCAGCGGGAAGGAGGGACGCCCACCACGAGAGGGTCCCGTTCGGAGTTCTGTGTGGCTGCAAACAGTCTTTTTGTCCTGCCTGAGTTCAAGAATGTTAAGAATCTCCCGTCTTTGAAAGGGATAAAAAAAAACCCGACAGGACTTCAGAAACGAGGCGTCCAATTTCTCATGTTCCAATTTGATTGTTTCTCAGGGTGAAAAACATGCGCCTTTCCACGGCTCGCTTGCTGAAATGGCCACCAGCGTACTGGGGTGGGGGGAAACTGTAAGGTTTTCCAGAGGCTGGGTCGGGGAGATCTTACTTAGGGTGGTGGCTTTGTGTGGCTTGTGTGGGGGAAAAAAATCTCCAAACAGCGGAAAACCAAAAAACAAGCTGCCTCGTTCCCACCTGGTGGAGATTCTGGAGTTTCTCTGTTTAGTATCTTTTTTCCTTTGGCCCAGACAGACCTGGGTTTTTCAATTAGAAGCTAAATTAAATAAATGCCGCAAACTTCCCAGTAGCAGTAAGTCCGGAGACAGAGGCCGAGGACCTCAAGGCTTGTTTTGTGAGAATGTGTTGGAGGCCGGGGCTGTCCGCTGGGGAAGCGTCCAGACCGGGCAGCACACCTCCAGCCCGCGGCTCGAGGGCCTCCATGCGGGGCCTTCGTCTGGGGTCAGACTTGTGTTTTCTGCTCAGTGTGCACCCAGGTTCGCACCCGGCGGGGATGTGTCCTTCCCCGGCTGCTCAGGGCTCACCCGAGGGGTCGCACTGAGCCCAGAGTGCCCTGTTCCCCGGGGCATCCTGCTTGCTAACCAGCGTGGGCTGGTGTGACACTGAAGGGTCTCCCGGACCCCTGCCACCCCCAGTTTGGAAAAGAACCACCCCTTGGTGCCGAGCGCGGAGAGGCGGCGTGGTGCCTGCGTCCCATCTTGACTTGGTCTCAGCCTGACGGAATCCCGGCTGAGGGTGGGGCAAGGGTGTTGTGCTGTGACCTCAGCAGACCTGAGAGCAGGGGGTCCCCTCTGCCCGGCCCCGGGGCCTCAGTGTCCTTTCTCCTCTTCCCGTTTCACAGATGAGGGAAACTGAGACTGGGCGGGTGGGGGAGGGGCGGCCCATGGGCGGGAGGCACCTGCCCCTGTTGCAAACCCCAGGGCTCTGTCCCTGCTTCCTCCAGTGAATGGTTCTGAGTCTGCTTGTTGGGGAGCCGAGTAGGCGGATAGGACAGAAGCTGTGAAGCCCTGAGAATCAGGAGAGTCCTTGTGGCTCGGGCTGGTTTGGCCGTGCCCGCGTCAGAAACTGCTGGAAGGGAGGCCGTCCCCGGCACACCCTTGAACTCTGTCAGCAGCACGGATGGAAGCGGGCTGTCAGCCCCCACGCCGGGGGGCCCGCGGCCTCGCCCTCATGGGGGCCTGCCTCGTTTCCAGGGGCCCTGAGAGCATCCCCAGTTCTTCCCTGGCTCGTCGCACCCAGAAGTTTGTTTTCTCATGTATTTGGAAACATAGTTGGGTCTGTTTTTGGACTTCCCAGGCTTTGCCATCGATCTGCATTTCTGCTTCTGCAGTTTCGTGGCTTAAAAAGCATCCCTGCTTTATGCTCTGCTGTGCCGTGGGCTGATCGTCCTTCATGCCTCGTCCTTTCCCTTCAGCTTTCTCTTTGCTTTTGGAGCATTGTCTGCCCACCAGTTATCTTTTAGAAGCATTTCGAGTGAAAAAAAATGATTCTGGTCGGAATTTTTTTTTTAATTTTGATTTTTTTAATTGAGTCATCATTAATTTCCAACATTGTGTTATCCAGTTGGAATTTTGGTTAAAATTGTGTTCGGTGTGAGCAGGGACTCGGGGAGGGGGTCATCTGAGCCCTCCTCTGACCGTGTGCCCTGCGGTCTTCTTGGACCACCTGTGCCCCCGTGGATGGAGCGTTCAGTCCCTGGACGCCTGTCCCCTTGCCTTTCTGGTCGCCGGTCACTTCAGCCGCCTCTTGGCTGTAGCCTTCTGTGCGTTCGCTGGACTCAGGAACCCGTGTCCAGCTCACTTTTTTCAGTACTTCCTTTGCAACTGTCTTCACTGGAAACATCTGCTGAGTTGCAATCTTTGTATCAAAGAGCCTGCATATTGATTGCTTTGAAACATACTGTTCACCTGATTTCCGGAAAAAGATGCATCTCCTCCCGCTGTTCAATTTAATTTTTTTTTTTTATTTTTTTGCTTGTTTCCTTCAAGTCTTTGAGGGAAGAATTCATTCGTCTTTATAACTGACTGCAAAATCTCCCTCACAAGGCTGGAAAGAATTATGTGCTAAATGAATGTGTAATGAATATATACTGAAAGAAGAGCAATTGTTTTTCAATATGAAGCTAAAAAAAAACATAATAAGGAAAGAGAGAGTTTATCTGTTTCTTCCTGTCAGGACCAAACTAACTCAATTAGCAGCATAAAGCTTTGCAAAAGGGGCTCTTCGGGAGGGAAGTTCGGACCCTCGTGGACTGGGTGTCGGAAGTCCCAGATCTTGAGCTACAGCGGACTTAGGTCAGCTCAGCTGAGAGTCGCCGTTTGGTTTTGACTCATGGTTTGTCTGAACCCCTTTCTTGCAGTATTTCCTCGCAAGGACCTCATGATACTGCTGGGAAAGTCTCCTCTTTTGAGAGGTGGGCATCCATCCAGAGGCCCAGACACCCCAAAGAGACACAATAGAATTTCACGCTGTTGCAAGGCCCTTTGTTTGCAAGCAGAAGGGCCGCAGACTAATTGTATGTTGTGCTGCAGCTTCCCTGACATTCTAAACTTTCCGTGATGTGTTTCCCTGAGCCGTCAGCCGGTGAGATCGCGTGACCACCTCCTCCCTCGGAGGGGTCCCCCCTCTTTCCTTCTCAGTTCACTTACAAGTTTTGTTTTTTGTACTGAAGAGTTTTCTCCTTCGTGGTTTGCGGCCGTCACCAAACCCACGTGCCGCCTGAGTAACCTGGAGGATTTAAAAATGGGCTTAAACTCGGCCTGTGAGACGTTTTGTCCTGGCGAGATGGAAGGTGCACATGTTGGCTCTGCAGGCCGGGGATTCAGTCCAGGTTCCCTCACAAACGGGTCCCAGGACACCCGGGGAAGGTAGTTACCGCCTTGGTTTCCAGCCTACGAAATGGGCACGCGTGACCTGCCTCCCTGGGTGTTGCGGGCACGGAATAATGGGTGAGCAAGAGCTTGCGAGGCTCCCGGGCTCTGCAGAGGACGACGGGGGTCGGGCCTCTTTCCATCCGCATCCTCAGAGCCTCGCTCGGTCTTCCTCACCTGCCTCCGTGGGCGGGACGCCTGCACTCCACCCCCCGAGGCGGGGACCCGGGCATGTGTGTTCCCCGCTGCGTCCCCGCTGCCTCAGTCGGCGCACCCTCCCCAATGAATGAATGACCTCACTTCTTTTATTGCCCTAGTGCACCCACATTTCCTGATCCATTCTCCCATTTTTTTGCACGACATCCCCCAATTGTCTTCATTCACAAGTAATGCTATTGAAAGCACTTATTAAAAAAAATTTTTTTTGTTTCTTTTTTTGGGGGGGTGAATAATTAGGTTTTTATTTATTTCAATTTTTTTAATTTTTTTTATTTTTTATTTTTTATTTTTTTTTTCTAATTTTTTTTTTAAAATGAAGGTTCTGAGGGCTGAGCCCAGGACCTCGTGCATACTGGGCACACGCTGTACCCCTGAGCTACACGCTCCCTGCCTGAGCACACGTTTGGTTCAAGAGTGTAACACCCTCTCAAAAAGTAACTATTGGGTGAAACTTTTTATAGGTTAGAACGAGTCTAATGTAGTTGAAGTAACAGAATTCAACCAGTTACATAGTTGGTGAATTTGCACGTCTTCAGGCTGCTTCCAAAAGTCCTGGTGATCCGTGTCCTCACCGACGCTCGATGTTGCCAGACTTTCTACTTTT